ATTAAAATTCGAAAAAATAACAAACAAGATACAAGCTGAGGCGTGTAAGTTTTTTTTGATACAAAATTCAGCACTCCAAATTTCAAAAGGACGGACTGAGGGGTTGCCGAACGGGGGGGTTTTTCTAGACAAAACACCTTATACAGGGTGTCCCAGAAGTTGACGTCAAGCCGAAACCGGGTGATAGGCAAAGTCATAACAGCTATCAGAAAAATATTTACAAAAATTTTATGTGTTTTGAAAATTATAGGTCTTTGAAAAAAATATAGAAATTTCACACCCTACGGCAGTCTGTCAACTCCTGTTACTACAAATATTAACTTTTTTTTGATTTTATTTTTACAATGTAATGATGAATAATGCATCTTCAAACTGGTGTCTCAACCTTACTGCCAACTTTTCTCGTTCAGGAAAAATTGCCACTTATTTCCCAACCAAGTATTCCAAAGTACAACTTTGCTCAACTTTAACTGGCTGTACCGAAAAAAAATGTACTACGAGAGTTTGGCAAGTAACCTTAAAAGTTGGCGCATTTAATAAGGATTCCAAAATGGTATAACACTTAGAAGATTACTCGTTAACTTATGCACAATTTTTATTTGAAGAAAAACTGATGAAATTTTTTCAAAATTTCCTAATTAAACAGCGATTATGAAAACGCACAAGGACCCTTAAGGATAACTGTTTGCACAACAGTGGTCGTCAAAATGCTGCTGATGATGATTTACCTTTACAGCAAATGCTCAAACTGTTTTCCTTCAGCCGCAATACACGCTCGACATCTTCTTAAAAAAGACCGGGTTATTAAACGAGCGAATCCACGGTTATTAACAAACTCAGCTGCTTCCAATAGTCTTTGCCGTAGCTCAGCTACATTTTGAATCGGCTTGAAATACACTTTTTCTTTTACAGTTCCCCAGTAAAAAAAATCTAACGGATTCAAATCTGGTGACCGGGCTGGCCACGGTATTGTACCAGACCGCCCTATCCATCTGCCTGGAAAGTTTTGATCGAGATACTCTCTCACTGAGAGTGCATAGTGCGCTGGGCAGCCATCATGCTGAAACCACATGTCCCTGTAAATAGTCAGTGGCACGTCCTCCAATAAATTTTCTAAATGATTTTGCAGAAAACCTAAATAAACCTCAGCAGTCAAAGTCTCTGGGAACTCAAACGGACCGATTATTTTACCATTTAAAATTCCTGTCCAATGGTTAGCGATATTGAGATTTATCTTCTCTCATCAGATGTGGGTTTGCTACGTGCCACTCGTGTAAGTTATGCAGGTTCATGTACCCATCTTTCTTAAATGTGGTCTCATCTGACAATAAAATTTTTTCAAAGAACCGTGGATCTTCCCTGTGCCTTTCTAACATTGTGCGACAAAAAGCATCTCTGGGCTTATAATCCCGGTGCAGAAGAGCTTGAACACGCTGTAAGTGGTATGGATGGAGCACGTTTTTTTGCAAGATTCTATGGGCTGTACATTTGGGCACACCTGTTTTTAGTTCTATTGCACGCACTGAAGTACTCGGGTCTTCTTCGACGGCTCCTAGCACCACGTCTTCGTAATGAAGGAAAGATCTTCCCTCACCGTGTGATTGGTTTGGTAGTTGGGCCTCTGAGAACAGTAAGCGGTGCACATTTGTGAACACCCGATGATTTGGATGACGAGCTGCATTCGGGTACCTCTCACAGTAAAGTCTCGCTGCAGCACTAGCGTTGCATCTGCATTCCCCATAAATGAGGTGCATGTTAGCATATTCTTGTACGGTGTACACAGACATAGCGGCACTGCACAATCACACTATCAAAGATAGTCTAAGGGAAGCAAATGTTGTTTTGAAGAGCAATTAAACAGTCCAAATCCAAATCACAAGCGATCAACAGTCCAGTTCACGAATCCAAAATTAGTAACAGTACGAAATCAACAAACACGAACATGTAAAGATGCGCAGTAAACGAAGGAGTACTGATCGGTATCAAAGTGTGCAATAGCCAATAGTAAGTAAGTGATGTGCTTCATCCATACCAAATACAGCGTGTTCAACCTCTCCGGGATTATGAGCCCCGAGTGGCTTTTTGTAGTACAATGTTAGAAAGACACAGGAAAGATCCAAAGTTCTTTGAAAAAATTTTATGGTCGGATGAGACCACATTTAAGAAAGATAGGTACATGAACCTGCATAACTTACACGAGTGGCACGTAGCAAACCCACATTTGATGAGAGAAGATAAATCTCAATATCGCTTCAAGATAAACCATTGGACAGGAATTTTAAATGGTAAAATAATCGGTCCGTTTGAGTTCCCAGAGACTTTGACTGCTGAAGTTTATTTGGATTTTTTGAAAAATCATGTACAAAATTTATTGGTGGACGTGCCACTGAGTATTTACAGGGACATATGGTTTCAGCATGATGACTGCCCAGCGCACTATGCATTCTCAGTGAGATAACTTTCCAGGCAGATGGATAAGGCGGTCTGGTACAATACCGTGGCCAGCCCGGTCACCAGATTTGAATCCGTTAGATTTTTTTTACTGGGGAACTGTAAAAGAAGAAGTGTATTTCAAGCCGATTCAAAATGTAGCTGAGCTAGGGCAAAGACTATTGGAAGCAGCTGAGTTTGTTAATAACCGTGGATTCGCTCGTTTAATAACCCGATCTTTTTTAAGAAGATGTCGAGCGTGTATTGAGGCTGAAGGAAAACAGTTTGAGCATTTGCTGTAAAGGTAAATCATCATCAGCAGCATTTTGACGCCCACTGTTGTGCAAACAGTTATCCTTAAGGGTCCTTGTGCGTTTTCATAATCGCTGTTTAATTAGGAAATTTTGAAAAATTTTCATCAGTTTTTTTTCAAATAAAAATTGTGCATAAGTTAACGAGTAATCTTCTAAGTGTTATACCATTTTGGAATCGTTATTAAATGCGCCAACTTTTAAGGTTACTTGCCAAACTCTCGTAGTACATTTTTTTCCAGTACAGCCAGTTAAAGTTGAGCAAAGATTTACTTTGGAATACTTGGTTGGGAAATAAGTGGCAATTTTTCCTGAACGAGAAAAGTTGGCAGTAAGGTTGAGACACCAGTTTGAAGATGCATTATTCATCATTACATTGTAAAAATAAAATCCAAAAAAAGTTAATATTTGTAGTAACAGGAGTTGACAGACTGCCGTAGGGTGTGAAATTTCTATATTTTTTTCAAAGACCTATAATTTTCAAAACACATACATAAAATTTTTTTAAATATTTTTCTGATAGCTGTTTTGACTTTGCCTATCACCCGGTTTCGGCTTGACGTCGACTTCTGCGACACCCTGTATATCAGTAGCTAATTACCAAAACCCCATAGTATGTTATATCAATTTTCTTATTTTGAACTGGTTTATCCAAATAAATAAAATTTGAGGCATTCCATTTGAAAAATCATAACTTTGATAAGTAGGTCGAAATTGGGAACATCCTGTATAATAGCCAATATTTTAGAAATATGCCCTCAAATGTCATGCATAACATCCCATAAATAGATTTTCACGTGTAATATTCCGTCCACACATGAATGGGCCACCCTGTATAATCACCGGAATCAGTTGCCTGAATTTGATGATTTTTTAGTTAATGTCGTCCATTTAATCATGTATACGAACTCTCGTTTTATGTAACTTTTACATAAGTGATTTTTGGTATATCAACTTCTTTTGACTCAACTTTGAAAACCTAGGTACCTATCAAAAGACTTGAAGGCATTTTTCAAATAGCATGCATTTACTTTTATGTCATATGTCGTATATTATTTTACAGAACAAAAGTGGATGAACATTTGGAAACTACAGGGTGGCCGATATGTAACTGACTGGTTTGTATCTTGAATATTTGTGACATGTAATAAAATACGTCCATTTTTTTCATCTTAATCTTTTATCTAAACTTAGAAATTACGTATGAAAAATAATATCAGACAAATGTCCGCCTCTAGAAGCTGCGCAAACCTGAGCCCTCTTGATTACATTTTTTATCACTTTTTGGTAGGTTTGGGAGGAATATTTTCAATCGCTTCCGTAATATTGTTCTCCATTTGCTTCACAGTATTTGGTTTGTTGACATAAACCCTATTTTTGTAAAATCCATAAAAAAGTCAGGAGCCCTTAAATCCGGTAACCTTGGTGGAAAGTTGACATCACCAAATCGAGAAATTAAACGTCCCGGAAATATTGTTTGCAGAAGATTCATTGTTTACCTAGCTGTGTGACAAGTTGCTCCGTCCTGATGGAGCCACATGTTTTGCAGGTTAAATTGTTGGATTTGAGGAGCCAGAATGTTTTGCACCATGTCACGGTAGCGCTCGCCAGTGACAGTAAGAGAATTCAAAGCATGACACCTCCATATCCAAACACCGCACCAAACTGTGTCTCGACGAGGATGTCGTAGTCGTTGATGAATCATACGAGGGTTCTCTAATGCCCAGATAAGACAATTTTGCTTATCAACAAATCCGATCATATCGAAGTGGGCTTCATCGCTCATGATAATGAGCAACTGATAAGTTGTCAGTAAAAATCGTTATTTTTTGTATTAAGCTGCAATATTGCATGACTGTATTGTCGCCGACTTTCATAGTCACTAGGCTGTAGTTCTTGAGTTAACTGAATTTTGTACGACCGCAAATGCGAGTTTTTTTTTAAACTCTCGATGTTTTCCGGAGTACGAACACGGCCCGACATTGGCAAGTCTTTACCTTCACCTGTTGGTCAAATTTCCGTACCAACTGACGAATGGTGTTGACACTGGGGGGTCGGTGTCACTAATCAGAATCGTCGTTTTAGTTTCGTTTGTGATGTGTTAGTGTTAGGCGCAATCGTGAGATGGCGCTGTTAAGGGTACCAGAAATCATAGGAGAGTGTTATCTGTAGTGTAGCTGATAATCTGTGGCTATATGGTACAATAGACAAATACCTTAAAGTATTGGAATTTACAATACAACCTGAATAAAATAAACATCTGAAAAAAATGTGCTTCTTATATTTCAAAAATCAGTTTAACATCTTTTAGATACATTATAAATCACTTTCAGACAAGACTTATTTGTTGCAGGTTGGTTATTTTTGGTCCATAGGTTCGTATTTTATTACTGTAATAAGTAGCTGATATCACTGCCCACTTTTATTTCTTTGGGTTCTGCGCCCCTGAAATAGAAATAGTGTAAAATTACAAAAAAGGTCATGTGCTTATCAAAACGAAAAAATAGAACTGAATGCCGCTTGCGTTTGGTCACAACAGAAATGCCTGAAAGTTCATGGTGTTTTTTTTGCGAGTGCTGAAACGACCACTTTGCTCCTGAAATAATTCACAATAAACGCAAGCTCCTTTTAGAATAAATTTGCACAAGACGTTCGTCATGCGTGAGCATATTTGGCAGTTATTTTTTGATATCGAAATATACTAAGTGACATATAAATCCGAACACCCAGTTTAAAGGGTTTTATTTTAATAAAATTTTGTATAAGTACTTAATGAAGCATAATAAGTAAATGATAAAAATTTAAAAATGATTGCACTGCTTTTAAGCCCTTTGACCTTTAATAATGTGTGGATGCACCCTGATGTGCTACGCATTCTCCAACGCGCCTAGGCATGCTTCTGATCAGGTGGTCAATGTCCTCCTGTGGTATCTCATTCCAGGCAACCACCAACTCCTCTCGAAGTGCTTCTAGAGTCTGAGGAGGACGTTGCAAATTGAGCAATCTCCTACCCATCATATCCCACACGTGCTCAATTGGGGATAAGTCGGGAGATCTTAGTGGCCATGGTAACAATGTGACATTATTATGTTGAAAGAAGTCTATTGTGACTCTTGCAACATGTGGTCGGGCATTATCTTGTTGGAAAGTTGGATCTGCCAGGGTGTCAAGATAGGGTAAAAGATGGGGTTCTAGAACTTCGTGGATATAACGCTGCGCGTTCATGTTACTTCTGATGAAGATTAAAGGTGACCTGGAACCATAAGCTATAGCACCCCAAACCATAACTCCAACAGTGTGATGAACATGTCTTTCAACAAAAAACTGTGGATTCCTCCTTTCACCACGTCGCCTTCTAACCCTGGCACGACCATCGTGCATGCCTAAACAAAATCGAGACTCGTCACTAAAGACAATACTGTTCCATTCCTAACCCCAGAGTGACCGTTGTCTGCACCACTCGAGGCGATTACGTCGGTGTTCTCGAGTTAAAGGGAGGACCCAGTGTGGCCGGTATGAAAACAAGCCGAAACTTCTCATTCGTCGGTAAACATTTCCCATGCCAATAGGTCTTCCGTGTTCTGCAAACCATTCATTTGCAATGGACCTGGTAGTGGAGAAACGGTCCCTTAAGGCCAATAATCTTAGGCGGCGATCTTCACGGTCTGTTGTTCTACGGCGGCGTCCAGTGCCCCTTGCTCTTTGCGTACGGCCTTCTCGAAGCCATGCCTGACAACACCTAACCACAGTGTCTACACTTCTTTGCACTCTAACTGCAATTGCCCGAAAAGAAAGTCCAGCTTCCCGAAGTCCCACTATACGGCCCCTATCAAACTCACTAAGTTGACGAAATCGTACAGGTCTCCGTACTCTAGGCATCGTAACCGATCGTAAAGGATGTCAAGAACCAAAATCCGCCAACGTTGAGTCTTTACTGCGGCTGAAATATTCATTTTTAGAGCGTTAGTGAATTAAAAAAAAGCAGTATAAAAACCGGAATGTCCAACTGATAAGGCTGAAAATTTTTTCACTTGTTATTTACAGTAAGATAAATACATTCACCAACTTTTATTAAAATAAAACCATTTAAACTGGGTGTTCGGATTTATATGTCACTTAGTATAGAAAAGTACGCCAGAAACACGTTGCGCACCAAATGTTTGGTTTGTTCTTACGAGAAACAAACTATTTTTCAGTTTTCTCAAGAAACAAATTTTTATTGGAAGTATTTAAGCAACTGATCGTATAAACAAAGGTCACCTTAAAAATTGGAAATAAATCACCGGTCTTGTGGCTTCCGCGTATTCGGCTTTCTCATATTTCCCAAAAAAAGGATCTAAGACCGACCCTTACAACTACAGACCTATAGCTCTGCTTTCTGTTATAAGTAAGGAGATGGAGAGGTGCATAAATCGCGAGCTTCTCGACTACCTCGAAAGTCACAGCTTGATTAGTGACAGGCCGTATGGTTTCCGGCACCAACGATCCACAGGGGACCTCCTAGCCTACGTCACGCAATTGTGGAGTAAACTCATCCAGTCTTATGGTGAGGCTCATGTCGTTGCTCTTGACATCACGAAAGTGTTCGATCAGCTGTGGCACGCTGCCCTCTTAAGCAAACTTCCATCCTTTGGCCTTCCAGAAAAGCTTTGCAGATGAGTTTTATCTCTGGCCGCAAGATATCCGTCGTAATTGACGGGTTCTTCTCTTCATCCCACAACGTCAACGCGGGTGTTCCCCAGAGATCGGTCTTGGCTCCGACACTGTTTCTCTTACATATCAACGACCTCCTTTCCTGCACGATCAACTCAATCCACAGCTTCGCTGATGACACCATTATACATGCAGGAATTCAGAGTGACAAGCCGATCTCTGCCGCTGAGCTGGAAAGAAGAAGACTAGCGACGACTTCCTCTCTGACAAGAGACCTGGAGGCTATCATTGCTTGGGGACGCAACAATCTTGTACTGTTCAATGCTTCCAAAACACAGTACTGTACTTTGACGAACAAAAAGCGTCCCAGCGCTCATCCGGTTTCGATGGATGGCCGAGTTCTGCCAAAGAGCCATTCCTTTCGGCTGGTCGGAGTCCAGATCACCGAGGACATGATCTGGCACGAACACATCTCGTCAATAACAGCAGAGGCTGGAAAAAAGCTAGGCCGTTTGTTTAGGGCTAAGAAGTACTTTTCTCCGCATGACCTTCTCACTCTATACGAGGCCCAGATAAGGCCTAGCCTCGAGTATTGCTCACACGTTTGGGGTGCTGCCGCCCCGACTACATTGTCCATGCTCGATGCTGATCAGAGGAGAGCGGTCCGACTGATCGATGACTCTTCTCTAACAGACAGTCTCGGGACCCTTTCGCACCGGCGAGCCGTCGGCGATCTAGCTCTTTTCTACCGCTACACCAACGGGCTTTGCTCCTCAGAGCTCTCTTCCATGATGCCGCCGCGCGATGACTTTGGCGTCCCATCCTAACCGTGTCGAACTTCGTACATCCAGAACTGGCCGATACGACCGCTCCTTTGTCCAGATGGTGTCGAGATTGTGGAACAAATGGGCTCCTCTCAGTGGCTTTTTGATTCGATTGGACAAGAAGAAGTTACAGGGGGTAAATCAGGCGAACTGGGTGGATGTTGAATGGTATTCGTGTTATTTTTGGCCAAAAACGGATAATGATAGCATTGTGCGATGGTGCTTTATCGTGCTGCAAGATCAACGAGTTGTTTGCCCACAAATGCTTGAGTTTTTGACGGATTGATTCACGCGATCATCTCAAAACACCAAAATACCTTTTTGACAGCCTGACCTTCTAGCAAGGATTCACTATGCGCCAAGCCGTAGTAATCCATGAAAACCGTGAGCATTGCCTTCTTTTTCGACTGTAAACCCACGTCTCATCTCCAGTAATGACGCGTTTGATGAATGTTGGGTCAGAATCAGCCATGGAAATCATGTCTTTGGCGATATCAACACGGTCATTTTTTTGCATGAAATTCAAGACTTTTGGCACCAACTTGGCTGCAACACGACGGAGACCCAAATCCTTGACCAAAGTGCTTTGAACGGATCCATAAGCAATGCTCAAATACTCTGCCATGTCTCTGATAGTTAATTTGCAGTTGGTGGCCAACATTTTCTTCACTTTGTCTACGTTTCCTTCTGTTTTCGATGTCGATGGCCTGCCGCTGCGATCATCATCGGCGATGGACTGATGACCTTCTGTGACCCGCCGAAAACGGCTGTTTTCTTCCAAGCATCGTAGCCGAAGCATTTTCCCAGCATTTCCGAGGTTTGCGTACCGTTGATATTGTTTTAACACAAAATTTAATGCAAACGCGTTGTTCATTCAGATCCATTTTAAAAATCCTAATAAATCGTGAACACGATAAAAAGGCACATGTACTCAACTCGACGTAGCTTTGACAACTGATAATGAAATGACGCCAAAATTCGGGGGGAATATCAGTGAAAGTTGGGCACCATAACAAGACAAATAGAATTGACAGCCGAGTGCTACGCGGCGACCATTTCGGGAACTTTTTGATCAAGGTGATAGTTTAGTTAAGTATTGAGTTGTAATTTATAATAACTAGTTAGTGTTTAAATAAATTTTTTCATGAATCAAAAAATAACAACGATAAATCTTTTGTGCAAAAACTTTTAGGACATACGTTAGAACTAAAGAACTTGACAATTTGACATACAGTGGTGAGTAGGACAAATCATTTTGTAGATTAAACCTTAACAGCACGAAACACGGATGAAAGCAGAATTATTAGTTCCGCTACGTATTTCATTCAAATAGCGCCATTTTTCAGTCTACCAATTAAATGCCATCTCACCTTATATACAGCCTGCCCCCATGAATTCCCTTGATGACCGCCTGGTTATCCTTGACATAGAGAGTAGCTCCTTCCCTTAGTCCCAGCACTGTGCTTGAGTCTGGTTCTTCCTGGTAATCTAGAATCCTGTCCTCGCGAGTCTCCCCCATGTGCGTACTGTTTTCAGGATTGTCTTGGAAGTGGGGGTTGATACAGAACGGGACCAGATTCAAGGCCGACAAGCTCGGTGGCCACACTATAGGCATATCATTTGTTGTATGTATGCTACGGGTTGCCACATTTGAACCTGTGCACAATAGAGAAAATAAACGAATCAAGTCAAACAGGTCCATAGAATTAGTCCAAAAATATTTTTTCCCTGCCCTACCGGTAGTTACCGTCCATCTGGCAACATTGACCCTTTCCATACCGTCAGACGTGGCCGCGCCGCCGTATGAGCAACACAATCAGGCATACCGTTACGCCGGGCGCTGAGCCCATATAGCAAGAGACATGTATCGAAAACATTTTTCTAGATCATATAGTTTTAAAGACAAATATACGGATAAACCTATGATGTGTGAAATATGGCTAATAGGTGCGTATAATTACAGGGGTTGGGACCGTATAAAATACTAGCATCAAAAAATAAGATATACCCTCGCCACCCGCCTACAACCCCTCATCTATTTTTTTATACCTAGTTGATCAGGATCATCTGAAACGTTATTTCGTTCTTTTTTGACCTTTTTTCCTCCAGCCGCTGGCTGTAACGATTTTCAAGCTATAAAGCTTTTTCGTCCTTGGCGTAGTAGTAACCTGGTGTAGCAATTTTCAAATCCGAGGAGTACTTTCTAAGTTATCGAGGGGCCACGGATTACCCGACAGAAATGAGTGACATGGTTTTTCGTGGTGTACAGGGTGGCCAACTAAGAATGCAAGGTACTGTATCTGGGAAACTATCCATCGTAGAGGCTTGTGGCAGACATTTTTTTTACTAAAACGGCCAAGAGAAAAACCTGGAAAATATTTTCAAGCTTCTGAAATGGTCGCTAGGTTGCGAAACTGCAATCTTGATTCTAAAAAAATGATGTTTCTGCCGATTCCGTTGTATCAACCTAACAATAAAATAGCTGATCTTTAAATTCGAGGATAATATGAACTTTGTTTGTTTGACAATTTTTGCTGCATCTCTAAAAATAAATTGGTGGGGGGTATTCAAAGGTTTCCGTGAAAAACACCCTGTATCTTCGTAACGGTTGAGCCGATTTTAACAAACTTGAGCTAGTTGAAAAGAGCTATTCTCGGGCTATATGTTGCAATATAGTTTTGTTCACGTGTGGCCGCTAGAAGGCTTTATTCGACATTCCGACAGAAATGGTTAATTTAAAAAATTAAATGCATTGGCATGATTTTTTTTTATGAAAAATGAGCTAAATGATGTCTAAGCTAGCTCGTGAAAACCATTTAGACCAAAGAAAATTTTATACAGAAATCCCTTGAATTTTTATTTTTTTAACTATTTTTTCTGGAATTCTTTTTTACTAATCAGAATAAAAAATCAACCTTTTTGAAAATACCACAAAATATCGCTAAAAGGTAAGTAATGCTAATAAAAAGGGCATATTTTTTGTTTAAATGCATATTCGCTATGGGTGTATACAAAGAAGATAATTAATCAAAACATAAATAATCCTCAAATTGTCAATCGTTGTCAATAGTTTCGCGTTACTTTGAGTAATTTTTCGCTAACCAAATGCGTTTTACGAACGATAGAGCTGTTGATATGCTTGCAGCTTATTTTTAATGTCTTCAGAATGCCGCAGTAGCGTCTTTGCGATGTTTCCCCCGATTAGTGGCGAGCTTACGAGCCAATGGTAGTTTTCGGCCTACGTTTCAACGGCAAAAAATTGGAAGAACACAAGAAAATATTAATCGTATACTGAACTATATTGAAGGAAATCCTCATCTTAGCACAAGGGCATTAGCCCTTGAGTTGAGCATATCACGAACAACGGTTCAAAATATTTTGAAAGGCTAAGGAAAGCACTAATGGCCATCAAAATAAGGATTTATTTAATTTTAACATTTTTTTAATTACTCTTGAAATGCATCCATATCATGTCGTTTTACATCAGGTCTAGAAAGAAAGTCTTTGATCGGAGGTTTGACTATTGCCAATGGATGTTAGGTATGATACGCAAAAATAGAGAATTTTTATTTCAAACTTTTGGACCGATTGGTTGCGTGAAGTTCAGCACCAAGGGCGTTGAAGTTTAAATGTGAGGTGTGGCATACTGGGAGCTAGAATTATTGAACCATACTTTTTCGAGCAGTCCCTAAATGGCAATGTCTTTCTCGACTTTTTGGACAATCAATTACCGTGGTTGAGGGAAGATGAGCCACTAGAAACAAGGCAGCACATTTTGCTATTATTGTGCGAAACAATATTAATGCAGTATTCCAACAGCGGTGGATTGGAGGAGGAAATCTGTTTCCATGGCCTTTGCCATCACCAGACTCAATTGCTACTGCTCATCCGGATTCGATGGACGGCCAAAGAGCCGTTCATTTCGGCTGGTCGGTATTTGTTTAGGGCTAAGAAGTACTTTTCTCCGCATGACCTTCTCTCTCTATACAACGCCCAGATAAGTCCTACCATCGAGTATTGCTCATACGTTTAGGGTGCTGCTGCTCCGACTACATTATTTATGCTCGATGCTGTCCAGAGGAGGGCTGTTCGACTGATCGATGAGTCTTCTCTAACAGACAGTGTCGAGACCCTTTCGCACCGGCGGGCCGATCGGCGATCTAGCTCTATTACACCAACGGGCTCTGCTTCTCAGAGCTCTCCTCCATGATGCTGCCGCGCGATGTGCCTGCCAGACAAACCCCCCGTCTTCGGCCTCCCATCCTAACCGTATAGAACTTGGCACATCTAGAATTGGCCGATGCGACTGCTCCTTTGTCCCGAGGGTGACAAGTTTGTGGAACAATGTACAAAAGGAAGCTTTTCCCAGTTCTACTAACCTTAAGCAGTTCAAAAATTGGATTAACAAAATTTTCTTGGGATCCTCATAGCAGCCGAGGTGTCCTAGCATTTAGGTTTCTGCCTGCGCGGCGGCTACGGCATAAAAAAATCATAGATATCATCATACATTCACCCTGTAAACTTCTATCTTTCGATACGTGCGACGTTGTCTCCCGATGGACAAGCGTTGTCGTCGGTGGTCGTACGTCACAGCCGGCAATTGCTTACACAAAACTGTGAGGTGCATGCACTGTGCAAGGTGAAGGTCAATATCATCATTCACGTCGGATTTGTTATCGCATCATGTGTACCTGCTGCAATTCATCTCAGGGGAAGGAGGAAAGTTATTTATCTTCTGTTACACACGTTCGAGGCAAACTTTTTCCTCAGAAGGGCTAACTTGTGCCAAACACAATCCTTCACAAACTGATGACAGCGTAGCGTGTACAGAGTTAACGTACTTGACGCCATTTTTTATGGAACAAGCCTAGGCATAGGACAGGTCTTATAAATTATTACACATTTTGTATAATTCTAATTATGAATAAAGGGTTATGGTTATCTGTTATACAAAATATGCCTTGAAATGCTTCCAGTAGAAATCATGTCCCCTTCAGAAAACAACCACCTATTGGAAGTAATCTGCCGAAAGTATAGTGGTCGTTTTTATCAATTAAATTTTTGTACCCATAAATCTCAACATAATATTAGAAATATAGTATTACAGTCATATATTACCTGCACTACTACCTATATAGGGTACTCCTTCTTCTAAAACCCTTTTGTTTATTGCTTTCACAAGATCCAACTCATATAATGTCTTCAATAGCCTAAATGTATTTCCACCGCCTATAAAAATAGCCTCTGCTTCTTGTATTGCTTTTTGTGGGTCTTGTGTGTGGATACTGGCTATATGAAATCCTGTCAAAACGTCAGATTTGTAAAAGCTAAGCATTGAAATATCGTCTCATACAGGAGGGCCCAGCGAAACGGTCGCACCCCCATTTGTCACTCTCCTGGTATAGTTTTGGAAAAACACTCGGACACGTCAATTTTGATTTCTAAGGGACGTCTTTTCATCTATAGCAGTACAATACAGCGTCATCCAAAAATAGGATATTGCGTTATACTTTAGATTTTTAAATATTAAACTCAAATAGCTTCACAACGATTGAAGATAGGTATAATCTTCAGTATACAATGGTTATTACACACACATTTGGGGGTTACCATTTAAAAATCTAAAGTGTAACGCAATATCTTATTTTTGGATCACCCTGTATTGTAAGGCTGTAGATGAAAAGACGTCCCTAGAAATCAAAATTGACGTGGCCGAGCGTTTTTCCCAAAACATATCAGGAGAATCACAAATGGGTGTGCAACCTTTCCCTTGATCCACCCTGCATAATACAGAACAAAAGAATAAATATGTGGAATTTTGTAACAAACTTTCAAGCGACAACTCAAAAAAGACTGCCCGTTAGGGATGCACCGAGTACTGTTTTTTTCAAAAAGTCGAGACTAGGCGCCGCCACCAATAACTCCCGCTGAAATTTAAAAGGTGGATGGACCCGTACTCTTCAACGATTATAAATGCGAAAATAAACATTGCTGGTCAAGCACTTCTATCAGACATGCCTTGGTTAGGCACGGTGTTGGATCAATCCTAGTAGAGTGGGTCCTATCCACTTTGGAGGATCATATAGCAACAGTTATGCTCACCGACCTATGTTGCAGCGTCAGTGTAGCTCGGCACGGGTATTACGTATCTTGAAAAGTGATATTCTGCCGATTTTTTTTGACGTTATGCAGTTTTTTTACATTATGTACGTTTTTCTACAAGATCTTAACTTAGCACTTAGTTGAACGTGTTGCCTAAACGTCACGAGGCTTTAGTTATCAATGTTTGACTCTGATGTTATGTAAAATCTGCTACAGAGATGGCATTACTGGAGGTCTAAGCTGTAAGTTGTATGTGTTGATGATAATTACATTGGATTTTTGTCTCAGATACACTTAATCGAGATTCAAAGCTAGAAATTAGTTGCGCATACACTTTTTCTTATACATTCTGGCAATTACGTATACAAATTTGCTGAATTTTTAAATGAGATAGATCAGAAATAATTATATTCACTGTACACTATTAAAGCACATATGCTAACAGTAATTACACACAACGCGGGCGCGGTGATGATGTCCCGTAATTCTCCTCAGTTTTTCGTAATTTATAACTTTGAACATATCCTCTATTCAGAAAGCCCAACATATAAATAACCCGTCATATTCAGCATATTAAGTGATGATTTTCTCACACAGCAAATATCACTGATTTTATACACATGCAGACCAATACACATAATCATCCAGATGCCATCTTGCTATTCAACCAACTTTCTTCTCAGAGATAAAAACTACAGACACGGATCACTCAGCCTCACAAAACTATGCAACCAATAATGCGTGTAGTTTAGTTAAGTGATTCCTCCATAGATGGACCTTCACAACGATCCTGGTGAGCAAACGTGGAATGACTGTTTGCGCCCTGAAAACTACCTAGTATGCAAGTTGACATCTTATAGGTTTTTTGACATTTTATAGGTTTTTTACATAATACCCGTGCCGGGCTGTCCGCAGGACGGAGCTGTGTTATCCCTACTGTGGTGCCTCGTGGTGCGGGTGTTTATGTTCAAGCCTATGCTGACGACTTAATCATAGTAGTTAGGAGTCGTTTTTGTAGAACAGTCTCTGAGATTATGCAGGGCGCTTTGTGCACTGTGGAATAGTGGTGTGGAGAGGTCGATCGTTCTGTCAACGCCGGAAAGACCGAGCCGATTCTATTCACTAGGAGAAGACTAGTTCTATCCCAATCAGTAAAATATCTAGAAATTATCCTGGACTGTAAACTGAACTGGAGAGAGCATGTTGAATCCAGGGTTAACAAGGCTCGCAATTCAATGCAGGCTTGCAGACGTTTTGTCGGAGTGAGGTGGGGGTTTAAACCCAAAGTGGGGCACTGGATCTACAAGAAGATAGTACGTCCATCTCTCTTGTACGGCTCCCTGGTTTGGCGGCCTTGCATTGGAACCGAGACAACAAGGCCAAACTGAATAAAACTCAGCGTTTGGCCTGTATTAGGATTACAAGCGCAGTGCGGACAACGCCATTGAGTGCAATGCAAGCTCTGCTGGATCTCCCTCCATTGGAACTAGCGATCCGCGGTGAAGCGAGAGTAGTCGCACATCGACTGTGGAGTCAGGGCTGCTAGGCCTTCTTGAATCTTGCCACCTTAGCCGAACTGTAAAGGATCATGTCCTACTCAGCAGGGGTGATCTGATCACCCCTAAATATCGCTTCAACCGCAAGTTTAATGTGGAGTATCTAACGAAGGCGGAGTGGTACTCCGGTAGCCGGAAGATCTTCGTTTTTTAGCCCCTGCCTCTTGGTTGGTACACCACTATTTTTCGGGCGGAAATCTTCACGATTCTGGCTTCCCGCATTTTGGAGGAGGGCGGGAATAGGAGAAGAATAACAATCTTATCCGACAGCCAAGCTGCAATGCAGGATTGTCTATCTGCGAGGCATCCGGTATCGTTAGTGTGGGTACCACGGCACGCTGGGATAAAGGACAATGATACGGCGGACGCTCTGGCGAAGACAGGATCAGCCAGCAAACTCGTTGGCCCTGAGCCAGCTTTAGGGGTGCCCGCGCAAAGAGTTAGGAGGAAAATGGAGAAGTGCATTGCAAGACAACACTCTCAGAAATGCAGACATCTCTGTCGGGCACTGGAACTTATTGTAGCGCCCAGCTCTAAGGATGGACGTTTTTGCTTATCTCTGGATAGAGCCAACCAAAGGTTTCTGGTAGGAATGTTTTCTATCCATAAGACGTTAAGGCGCCACCTGCACGTGATGGAGATGACTGAGGATCCCTTGTGTGAGCGCTGCGGAGTAGAAGAAGAGACCTCGGCGCACGTTCTGTGATGCTGTGAGGCTCTGAGCCTACAGGCAGACTATACTGAGGTCCATCACTTTGGACCCCCAGAAACTTAAGGAGCCAAGGCCATACTCAACTTCGCTAGAATGGCGAGACTAGAGGTCTAGGGAGTGTACAGGTGCATAATGACCCGTTTAAGTGGCATATGCTCCAGCTCCTCATGGTGGCCGGTATGCCTCTAATTTCATAATTCAGCACCACATACAAAGGGTACTACAAACGTTTTGCAATATCACTTAACAAACGGATGCAGGAGGCTGCATGTTGAGACATGTCTATGTGTGCATAGTACCCGCCAGCAGCACGTCTGTTGATTCAGTTGTTCATTCGTATTGACAGTGTAAAATGCGGACTATGGCATCATGGTCACGTAGTGAAATAAGGGAAGTTTTACGGTATAACTCTACGCGTGGTTTAAGCATAAACCAGTGCTTTGAAGAAATGAAACCTGCATTAAAGAATGATTGTCCTCATTGACCGACTATATGCAGGTGGTATAGAGAATTCCAAAGGGGCAATTTCACTCCGGAGGATGTTGAGAGGGAAGGAAGGCCGCGAACGTCAGTAACAGAGAAAAACATTACTCCTGTGAGGAAAATGCTTGACGAAGACTGGAGAGTGATATACCAACAGATAGAGGAGACCTTACACCTTCATGCACCAGAAATTCTTTCAATTCTGTATGTCCATTTAAACGTAAGGAAACTTTGTTCTCTCTGGGTACCGGATAGTCTGACGGAACAGCAGAAGACTCGTTGTACGACTTAGTGCCGAAAGATGCTGAAAACGTTTTATAAGGGGTAATCTCGATATGTGAACAACATCGTGACAGGTGACGAGACAAAAAAATGATAGCTGTATTTTTCAAATCGAGCGGGATTGTGGAGCGTGTATTATGGACACTCAGAAGACAGTCTTCTAAGTGGTACCTACACGTAACAGTGCCTGACTAAAGTCATAGAGTCTATTGAAAAACCTGCGGTCAAAGTCAAGAATGGACACTTGGTCCTCCACTACTGGACTGAAACTTATTGGGCACCCTGCTTATAGTCCAGACTTTGCACTGTTTTCGCATGTGAAAATGAAGCTAAAAGGAAAACGGTTTTCTAGCGATGAGAACCTTCTGAGGGCTTGGAACAACGAGTGTGCCGCAGTCCCGGGTGTAACTTGGCAGAGCTGGTTTAAGGACTTGTTTTGGCGGATGGAGAAGCTGTATTGCAAAACTTTTATAGTACTCTTTGTATATTTGCTTAAAATCACCTGAATGGTATCAATATTGATATCGCATCCTTGAAGTGTCAAGCACAGCACACTACCTTTCATCATGAGACATGTCCGATATGTTGGTTCTACCCCTAGCGCTGTAAAAAGTTGCATTAGAGCGAGTTGATCTCTTTGGCACCACAAAATTTATTTTAGATAATAATTTCGAGTACCGGATACTCGGTAGAGTGATCTGCCCTGGGTTATTTCAGCTTGTTAGTGATCTCAAGGTTATATTTGCGTTTTTGACATTGGAATGCGTCAGCTACAATACTGAGGTGAAATTGAAACTATAAAAGATATTAGATGTTTGCATCATGTTAACATATTTTTCAATCTCCCCTATTAGAAAAGAAGCACAGCTGTTAGATATTCAAAAGGTATATGTCCGATATCTTAAGCTTACATTTTTGTCAAAGCTATATACGAGGGATGTCGTTTAAGTTTTGCATATGGAAATAAAACAACACGGTAGGTAGTTTTAAATGACTTTATTGTTTTTCGAAGCATTCTCCACGAAGATTAATACACATCTGCATGCGCTCGAATCAATTTTCGAAGCACTTATTCCACTCGTTTGCTGGCAGATCCAAAACGGCATTTTTGAATGCGTCAACTGCTTCTTCTGGTGACTGGAACCTTTGACTACGCAGTCTGTTTT